ATGACTTCAGAAATGCGAGCTGGGAGACTGAGGTCCAAGGGTGAAGTGGCAGAACGAAAAGACCCGACACTGAATTGTGGCACTAAAATAATGGAAGTCCATGGCAGCAAAAGAGGTGGTCACACGACCTTCCCTAGGCTCAGAGTGAAAGAGCAGGGAAGGAGACATTATTCTTTGCTAACACTGCCATTAAGTGATGCATTCTTTTCCACACGCTGGGAGGTGAACGGGGGTATATGATGCTTTCCAGTATGTGAAACACCCTTCCCCAATGATGCTCATGGGGGTCTCACGGAGGTGGCCATGTGGAGAGTCCCTGGATTGAACCTCCAAGCCACTGTGTTTTCACTGTGGTCTTCATTACTCGGGTTCTGGAACATTAATGTCAGTTCTAGATTTAGTTCTTGGCAAAGAACTGCTGCTCTCTTCGCAAGTCTATATATTATTGTTCTGATCGGGTGTCTCACTTAGAGGCAGTCTAAAAAAACACACAGAAAAGGCAACAGGAATAAAATCCCTGACCTGGTGCTGGGTGACTCTGCCCCTGTGACCCTCTCTAACTTCCACACGTCTACGGGGGGACTGGCGGGACATAAGGTTGTCTTGACCATGCTACAAGGTGTATCGAGTCCAGTGCCTTGCCCAGGTGCAGCAGGCATTTACACGACCTACAGCTGGGTAGGCTATAAGTCAGGAACTCAACCAGTCAAGCCTTAACTATAAGAGCCAACTTCAGTGACTGGAGGCAGAATATAATTCCCCCATGGGGCCTGGAGACGTGCACTGCCGCCATATCGGGGGACCACAACCTGGAGCTCCCAACAGAGGGTGCTGCAGTCAATGACTTGGCAAGCGGAGGATGTGGACTCCGCCAACAAGAATGCTTCAAGGGCGCCCTTACACAGCTTCAAGTCCAATGAAAGCACCAAACTACTTGTCAAAAATCAAGATCCACCTTCTAAATGATCCTCAACCATAAAGCGAGCCTCTGACAACTCGGTTTTAGGGGCTATTCTCCTCCCTTAATTCCAGGGAGTGCCATCTATGTCACACTTCCCACAGGCCAGTACAAGTGTAGGGCTGCCAATGTTTTGTTTTGCCAAGTAAAGGCTCTGAAAACAACTCACTCACATCAACTATCATCACTATTTCATCAGGAAAACCTCTTGTTTTTTCTTTCAGCTCCTAGCTAGACTCTCTCAGACTTTTTCCTGCACATCTGGTCAATCATAACCTCACTAGGACAATAACTACTGGACTCTCTCATGACTCAGTCCTGGGTCCTCTCCCTTTCTCAGTGTATTCTCTGTCCCGAGGAGAACACAGGGGAGTGGGCTGATGCCGAGTTAGCCGAAAACCTGCTCCCGTAGGCTGCTGTTGTCCACGCACCGTAGGGATTTATGAGCAAGACAAGAAGCCTGAGAGTAAGGTTTTTCAACCGCGGCACCACTGACACTGTGGGCCACATAAGTCTTCGCTGGGGTGCCGTCCTGTGCACTGTGGGATGTTTAGCAGCATCCCTGGCCTCCACCCACTCGATGCCAGCAGCACCCTCTCTCCAGTCACGAGAACCAAAAATGTCCCCTGGGGGGCAGAAATCGCCCCCCTCAATGGATGAGGCCCACTGTGAACAGAAGAATGAGGGGATGTAACATATTTTGAAAGGACTGCTCTGTCTGAAAAAAATTTCAGACATGGTAATTTAAATAAAAAGTCACACAAAATGATGTTGAACTGCACCACCAGTGCAAAAATGCACTATTCTTACCAGGGAAAAGCACATGACAACTGAGTGAACATCTTTGCCCATCAGTCTAGTAAAATTTACAAAGAATGCTGATATTTAATGATGCTAAGAAGGTACAGAAATCAGGGCTCTCAATCGCCACCCATGGCAGCGTAAAGTGGATAAGTCATTCTGGGAGGTGATTTGGTGGTATCCATCAAAACTTTTAATGTACATATCTTTAGACCCATACATTTCATTACTAAGTATCTGTCCAAGGAAACAGTCATTTCTGCAAGGCTGGGGCCTGTAAATAGATGTGCACTATTTGTGAAAAGGAAAAATTGGAACCATCTAGATGTCCATCCAGGGAGGGATGGTTATAACCATTATAGAAGCTCTGCATCATATACTATATAACCACACTGGGCACAATGTATTTAAATGTTTAGATAAAAGACTAGAAGGTTTCACCCCAAACCATTAACAGTGGAAGGTGGGATTAGAGAGGGGGAAGATGGGTGGTCTCTGTTGATTGTGCCTTTGACAAAAACAATGAATTCAGAGATTATTTATGTAATAAAAATAGAGGAAAACACACATGTGTATGCATGTACATATGTAAATATGTGTTGTGTGTACATAGATGTATAAGCATGCATATGCACATGTTTCTGACCCTGGCATATATGTGCATGTATAGACATTGTGTGTGCAAATACACACACACACTCAGCAGAACCACTGGTATCCTCACATACTTCTGCTAGTTGTGGAAGAGTTTATCTCCCAAACAGGTTAAAGACCATATGTGATCATGTCACATAAACCACACGATTTCTTCAAAACACCTGGACCAGGGCAGGTGTTAGACAGAAGTAATCTCCCAATCTCCCAGCTTCTCTGCCCACTGCAGCAGAGTGTGGATAAAGCTACTGGGGTCCCTCACACTATCAGGTGTTGGGAAACCATGCAGCGATGGCCCCGCTAAGACATCCCAATCCTCCAGCATGGAGCAGGGGGCCTCAGCCTCGGCACTAGTGACATTTGGGGCTGGATCATTCTCTGTGTGAGGGCTGTCCTGTGCATTGTAGGATGCTTAGCAGCATCCCTGGTCTCCACCCACTAGATGCCAGTAGCGTCTCTCCCAGAGTTGTGACAACCAAAGCTGTCTCCAGACACAGTGAGAAATCCCCTGGGGAGTAAAGTGCCCTCTCCCCCTGCTGGGAACCACTGTGCCAGTGGGAAAAGGACAGGAAGTGCTTGAGCAAGCCAACCAAGGATGTCTTTATAAGGCATCTCTGATTTTTAAATGTTGCCAATGCAGCCCAGAAAGGCATTTCTGAGAAGCCCCTACTATACCACAAAGGTTGAGACACTGGAGGCAGGACCCTCCTGTGTAGCTGCAGTGCATTTCCTAACGAGGTTCTGGCGATCTTGAAATAACACTCTCATTTAAAAGATACTGATGGGGCCGGCTCCGTGGCTTAGCGGTTAAGTGCGCGCGCTCTGATGCTGGCGGCCCGGGTTCGGATCCCGGGAGCGCCCCGAGGCACCACTTCTCTGTCCAACGCGAGGCTGAGTCCCACGTACAGCAACTAGAAGGATGTGAACCTATGACATACAGCTATCTGCTGGGGCTTTGGGGGGAAAAAACTGAATAAATAAAATCTTAAAAAAAAAAAATAAAAGATACTGATGAAGTGCATTGTTCTCCTCTGAATAATTTTCTTAAATACTCGACTTTTTGCCCAAATGTATTATCTCGACATTTACAAAGTTACTCACTGTATACCGACACCATCTCTAGAAAACAAAGAAATCACTTGCTATGTTTGGTAAATGTCACAGCAAAACACGTAACAATTACGTTCCTAAGTGCAGCAACCATCTATTTTCTGTGTTTTAATCAGCACAGCAAATTCCAGCACCCACACTGTGCAGTTCCAGCAGAAACATGCAAGAATGGGCAGAGGGATACTCAGATGAGACAACAGCCCCTGCTAAACCGCAGCGAGCTTGAGAGAAGGAATGCACGACAGACGGAGACTATGACCACGGAGATAAGCAGCATGGCTGAACAGACGCGGCAGTGGTCCATGTGGAAACGTAAAGCCCACCAGGAACACATCTTGAAAGCCAAAAAGAATGGGGTATAGAAGCTCTGAGCAAACAGAAGGTCCACATCAGTTCAAGCCGGCCCTCTAGCAGGGAGTCATATGATCTGCTTTTGTTGCTATTTTTACGTTTTCTAAAAAGACAACAAAGTGGATTTCCAGACATCCATGAATGATGCAGTATGCTGAGCAGGCCCACTATTTAGCTTCCAGAAAGGACCCCTCACCCCACCTGCCATTCGGCTCCTTCTCTCCCATCCCCCAAGATAACAGTTCATATTGACCAAAGAAACTTTTTTAAAAAGATATGCTTCATAGCAGTCTGAAACACATATTTTTAAATAATTTAGTTTGAAGACTTTCCAGAAGGCACAAAAGAGAGAAAGTCTCTAAAAAGAGGATATGAAAGCTAGGGTAGGGTCAGAATATTGAAAACAGGAGCCCTGTGCACGTGGGGAGAAATGTGACATGCTAAAAATACTGTGCCCATGTGAGCATTACGTGCCGCCTCTTGGTTTTGCCTGTGTCCTATGGTCAAGACTGGCAGGAAGGGAGGGAAAGACAAAAGAAAAGGCACAGACGAGGTCAAGTCTCGATTTTCAGAAGGCAGATGATTTATAACACAGGTCAACAGGAATTTCAATTCTCTCCATCAAAATGAAATAGATTAGGTACTGCTATCACCTGTTGACCTAATCCTTATTAAACTGTCTTTTAAACTAAGATATGTGGCTTTTTCCATTAACCTATGAGTTAGAAGCCACACATAAAAGAAAACAGTTCTGCTGAATCGGTCCAAGGGACTGATGCTCACAAGGGAGGAAGGGAGGGGGAGGAGATGGAGGGAGAGAGGGAGGCAGGCAGGGAGGAAGTTCTGAACTACCTGAGAGTATAAGGAAAGCCCAAAAAGTCTCTATTTTTATTAAATCATGACTTCATAATTGTTTGCAATATTGAGAATTTCACATTTTAAATGCACTTGAAACTGTGTTATACATATTAAGAAGCTACACAAATGAAGATCCTTTATTTTGTATTCTGTCAGACAGTGCTTTCTGATAAAAAGTAGACCATCACACTTTGGAACTCTACTAAACCTCTTTCCACGGGAGAAAGGAAGTAAGCAGAAGGCAAGATTTGAAAAAAGCGCTTCTTACCTCTTTCTGGCTTCCTCATACTGCCAATTAAGCCTGACTCGGTCGACAAGTCTTGTTTTATCATCAAAGACAAACTTTCCGGAACAGAAGAAAAGAAAAGAAGGGAAACACATATTAAAAACATATTTCCAAAAGAGAAAATTCATTTAAACTTTCAGCATGAATGAAAAATATTTTAATTTGTCTTTCAACTTCCATTTTTCAAAGGTCTGGAGGAAAACACACCAAATAATACTCGGCTGCCCGCTCTGGCCAGTGGGGGTTAGGCATGGGGCTGGGAAGACTTACTTTTGCTTTTCCGACATTGCTGGATTTTTTTTTTTTTTAACAGTGGAAGTGTATTTATTTATTGTGTAATTCCAAACAAAAATAAAGTTTTAAGAGAAATAGGGAATTACTCAGTAAAAGTTGATACAAAGGCAAAAAAATTCATCCCATTTTGTGTAGCATATTTTCTAATTCCTCAATAAATATAAAAGAATGATGCTCTCTTAAGAAGTCACAAGATCTGAAGAAGACAGACTAGGTGTGTGAGATATGGGCTATAGGACTCCTTTGAATGTTACACAGCATGTTACAGAGCCCAAGGTAAAGGAAAGAAAGAACAGTATGGAAAAGCCTGGAATAGGGGCGCATCACCTTAGGAGTTAGAATCAAAATGCAGTGCTCCGATGTGATCACTAGTTGTACTAAATATTTTCCCACCAATTACACTGAAGTCAACAAATCCCCAAACAAAACAAAGACCTGTATGGCAGATAATTGTAGCTCACCTTGGTTACCTCTTCCTTCTTTCCTGGAAATAGATGACTCTAGTTTCAACAAATCGGCTCCATCTGTAGATCTGATCTTACTAGACTAGACTTACTAGACTGTATGTTATGGCCAGTAAGTATTTTTTTGAAATAGCCTCATGTCAACAAATATTTGAAAATAATTTACTTGAATGATTAGTGATGAATTTATTGATATGAGTCTTGATACACGTCAATGGGGAATTTCTTTACATCTTTATCGCCTTGAATGGCAAGATGAAGAAATGCCTTATGAGGGACTGAGCATTCTCCAATGAGATGTGTCACAATTTTACACGTTTCAACAGCCTCAACTGATGCCCCTCTCGTTTCCTCAGTATATTTAGGCTGCAGCATCACATCTCCAGAAACTGTCTACACAGAAATGAGCTACATGTCACCTCATCACCTTGTTTGTTAGAGACCCCCTCCCAGCTGACTCTTCATCAAGATGTTATTTTTTTTTTTTTTTTTTTAAAGATTTTTTATTTATTTATTTTTTCCCCCAAAGCCCCAGTAGATAGTCGTATGTCATAGCTGCACATCCTTCTAG